TATATAAATTTTATGACAAAATAATACTTTTAACTTATATTCTAAGATCATTTATGTATTATTTTGATCCTTTCACATAATACTTTAATAAAAACACAAATTATAACTTTTAAGTATTTTCCCTAAATTTTTACCAATTAGCTAACAAATACAGTATGACAAAGGCCTATGAACTTCTAAACGAAGTCGTAATCCTTCGAGCAGAAGTTAAAAGCTTAAAAAAATTTATTAGACAAAAAGTGTCATAAAAAGGCGAAATACTACTGTGGAATATTGGGATGTTTCTTCCAATCTTCTTCTCCTGTACTCCTTTAAATCCCATAAAAATAAAAATAAGGAAAACAGAAAAGCGACGCCGTGGAAGTCTTGTTAAGGACACCATCTTCCCCAGCACGCTTCGGTTTGGAACCTAAAAACAAATAAATATACGTTGGAGAATTCCTTCGTGTTATCAAACTTCAAGTTCTCTCCTTTCGATCATCATGGACGTGGGGGAGTCCTCTTTCGCAAAATCAAAATCCTCTTCGGAAATCTGGGCTAAGCTTGGTACTTCCTCTTTCCCATGTTTAGTTGCTAAGAAAATGCATGAGAAAAGAAAAAAGGAATCACCTTTACCCTGCCCATTGTTTCCAACGAAGAAAAGTTGTTATCTTTTCCCGTTTTGTTCTTCGGTTGTGTCAATTGCATTTTTATTTCGTCTTCAAAGAGTCAGAATTCGTAATATGGTTAATGAATTTGGGGTTATTTTTATTTTTTAGTTCTCTGAGAAATTGGGTTTTTCAGTTTCAGAAGTGGAGAGACTCTTTGGTCTTATTTACTCGTTTTACATTGTTGTAATTTTTGCAAATTGGGTTTTTCAGTTCTCTGAGAAATAGGGAATTGCAATTTAGTATTGTCTTCTGAAAAACCAGTTTTCAGAACTAAAGGGAAAAATAGTTTTTAGAACTGGAGGCTCTTAGGTCTGTCTTGGTTTGCATCATGAGCAATTTTCTTAATGTTAAACCTTTGTTATAATCATTTCTGGACATTGATCACTTTCTAGTACTATAAAAAACAATCATTGAACATGTTTTATGCCACCAGGAAGAAAATGCCAGATTGTGAATTGGATTTGGCGTTTTTCTTGTACAAAATAGTAATGAGCACAAAGATAAGTTCTGATTTGAAATTTCTTTAAAAGGCAAAGCATTTTGGGTATTGTCTGATGTTTACTTGCTGCAGTATCCTTGGATTCAAGATATGAAGATGTCGAGATTAGCTCAAAGGAAGTTGTGATAAAATCAGAAACCAAAAGCTCTTCTCAAGAAAAGCACGAATGGTGCAAAATAACGAGGAATCCAGATCAATTTTCTGCCACAATGCAAAACAAGAGGTAGTTTGCAATTTTCTTACTAATCTATCTTGGATTCTTTTATGTTTCTGAAATTTTCAAGTGATGCAAAATAGTTTCAATTTGTTGGTGAAACATGATAATATGATATATATTTAAATGTGTCTTCTTAACCAGCCATCATAATACTCTGTATCTTGATTTGGACATTTATTTGCCTCTCTTAATGTTGAATGTTGGGTATCAATACAGTTCAAATTTAATACTGGTTGATGAAGTTGTTGTCCAAAGTGAAGATGTTGTTGACATCAAATGTGGTGCTGAAGTAATTGCAGGGCCTAATAAAGAAGGTTAGCATTAGCTTTGATTTGATGCCCAATGTTTTCATTACTTCTAGTTCATTTTTACATTATCTTGAACTCCTGCTGCTAAATTTTATGTGAAAAGTTCAAGCCTTTATTCCTTTTTTTTTAAAATGTGTTGTTGATTCTTATATGGATGCAAATTATTTGTTCCATAAAATTGCTAATGAGTATAGTTGCTGGTTATCCAGTAATGACACAATATTTCTATCTTTCGTTCCTTTTTTTCGGTAATTTTCTTTCTTTCTTTTACTATTTTGAATTTAAAAGGAGATTTTTAGTATAATCTTTTACCTGAATTTACTGCATTTTGAAAAGTACCTTCTGCTCATTATTAGAGGAAATAGAGGAAGCATTTATACATGCAAAGACACTTGCATGTGTACTTGTGTCCTTGCAACCTAATTAATCCCTCCTTGCTAGATACGAGGTAAATTGTGTATTTTCTTGCAATCCTGGGGTTTGAGATTATGTGAATGGGGGTGATGGCAAAGGGACAGAGAAGAAGAATCATGCACTGGGATCCTTGCAAAATGCATGGTAATTTAGGTTTGGGTTGGGTTGGTTGATTTTTTTGCAACCCTTAGGCTTGGGATTATGTGAATGGAGTGGCTAGTATGACTGTAGAGTTTTCAGGGTTTGGATTACAAGGAAAAAAGGTGAATGAGTGTAGTTTTGCAGTGAATAATAATTTGAAAATACAGTTGCAATAATAGGGAGAGGGAGAGAAGTGGGAGCAATAACTTATCTCACCATTCATTTTTCATAAGTCTTAATACAAATAATTTTGAAATGAAAGCCTCCTAACCTATGAATAGTATATAACCATCTGTCAGGACGCTTAGACTATTCATTTATCTATTTACACTTTTAATTCAAAAGTAGGATCCTAAATTACTGATTGATTATATGTAAAATTAACCAAATGATATTAACACGGGGCATAGATGGGGTAGAAATTACAATTTTTTCTCTAAACATTAATTAATTAGGTTCTTCAAGGGCTGCATCACAGACTGTTTTTCTACTCATTAAATGGATTCCCTATTTTGCTCAGACTGAGAGGTGAAATCATGCAAGGAATAAATAATTAGGTTCTTCAATGATTGCATCACAGACGGTTTATAGGTATATACTACTTGGTCTCTAGCTAAAATTCAAGGAGGTTATAAGCATGTTTCAGCTTTTGTAGGTTCAAACTATTCTTGTTGACTTACTAGTTCTTAAGCCCTAAACCATTCCCTTAATTACTAATGGGATGGCAGGGTTGCTGTAGATCTTAAGTTAAGTCTTGTGAATAAAATAGGAAAAAGAAAAACATGACAAAAGTCTTTGTTAGTTGAAGCAAAGATTGAAATTATATATAAAGGTGTAAGTTATGCAATGAGTGCTTGTTGGTTAACGTTATTTATTCTTGATGCTTCTAGGATATTTGAACTACAAATTCAAAGTAATGTGCAGCCAAGAATCCATCAAGCAGAAGTTAAAGGTGAATAATGATTAACCATGTGATGTTTTTCTTTTTGTAAGCTTCTGCATTTGTAGGTTTACTGACAAATAACCGCTTTGTTGTTTTACTTTCAGATAAGTATAGATATTGAGCATGCAAAATGCAGCATCTGCTTGAATATATGGCATGATGTTGTTACCATTGCTCCTTGTCTTCATAGCTTCTGGTTTGTAATTTGCCTATGTGTTCATTCATTTGGCAATAACTTCTTAATTCCAAATTTGATTTGAAATCTACCTTTGCTTTTGTTATTTTCAGCAACGGATGCTTCTCGGAGTGGTTAAAGAGATCACAGAAGAAACAAAGAGGTGTGCTCTGTCCCCAGTGTAGAGCAGTTGTACGGTTTGCTGGAAGAAATCATTTTCTGCATAACATTGAGGAGGTAATGTGTTGAATTAATGTGATTTGAAAGTTTTAAGGGTTTAGAGCTTGCATGTGCCTTCTTTTTTATTTTTTTATTTTCACTTTGATTATTACTATACTGCCTTCTGTATTAATTGAATGATCTTTTTCCATCTGTTTCCTATAGGGGCCAGTAGATATTCTTTTTAAAGTACTCAGACTATCTTATGTCTATTAGTCTATGATTATGAAAGTTTTTATCTATTTTGTGCTTATATGTATTTAATTTTCTGTCAGACAAATAATGTGCTTGTCTTTTGTTTCCATATTTATGAATCTTAAATGTTTTGAATGAAATAAATGCTTTTTTAGGGCTTACTACAAGCTGATCCTTTGCTAAGACGTTCTGATGAAGAAGTTGCAGTTTTAAATTCCTATGCAACTATAAAATCAAATCTTGTGAGTTATTGCACCTTCTTTGAATATATATTATATTAGCAGTTAAAGGAGCTTAAGTCTTTCTTTAGCATCCTTTTTAATTGTTGCACATCCACTATATGTCTTAGGTCATTAGGAGTGGAGAAAGACAAAATAGAAAGAGGGCACATTTTTCTATGGATGCGAGAAGTGACAGTGAAGATGGTAATGTGGACATTGATGGTGAGGAAAGTGATGATGCAGGGCCTCATTGCCCACAATGTGGTAAGATTTATAGCTTATTAAGGTCATTGGAAATTATATAATTTAATTGGTGCATGCGCAGTATGTAATGTATGGCCTTTTTTTTTTTTTTTTTTTTGTTTTTCATTTGACTTGAGTTTCATTGAATTTCTTTAGTTATATTACTTCCATTTTAACCATTTTGGTTGTAAGAATATTCTCTTTTTTTTTTTCCTAATTTTCGGTAATTTGTTGTTTAGTCTTGGTTTAATTAGTTCAATTATTATTTTTAGGCACTGAGATTGGTGGATTCCGGTGCAACCCTAACACCATCCATTTACAATGTCAAGCTTGTGGAGGAATGATGCCTTCCAGAGCTGATATTAATATAGCACAGCACTGTAAGAATTAGTATGTTTGTGTGGATTTCTAGTGCATGTAATGCTAATGTTGTTCCTTGATCCTTCTTCCTTTTCTCTGTTATATTGCATGACACTAAGGAGATTGCTTGATCATTTCTTCCACTTTAAATAACTGGTTATATCCAATTAAATAGAAAAGTCCTATAATTAGTGTCTAATTAGCTGAAGTACTTACACATTGGTTTTTGAAGTTCCAGCTCAAGTTCTTAGCAATTTAGGTTTTCAACACTCTTTTTAGGTTTGGGATGTGATAGAGCATTTTGTGGTGCATACTGGCAATCTCAAAGGCTTGCTAGAAGTGACATTCAGCTTGTATGCAGTCAAGAAACATTCAAACCGGTATATGCTGCTGGTTTTATGGCTATGTTGAATTACTTTGACTTGATTTCTAGTCTCTTTGTTTCCTCACATTATCTTATTTCTTTAGCTTTCTATTTCATTTTAATATATTGGAGGATGAACTGCTGGTTCAAGTAGCTGTTACTATCTGTCAATTGTACTATTAAACTTTGATGCAGATAAGAAAGGAAATATTCTATATATTGGGATTATGTTGTAATTATGGTTATATTGGAATTAATTTGTAACATTTATCCAGTAATTTATATTTATTAAGATTTGTTATTATCTTTCAATAAAGATTCTAATTAGGATTCTAACTAGGAATCAAGTCTAACTAGGGTTTTAGGTTTTCTATTTAATGGTTTAACTGTTGGTTGTATTAGGGTTATTGAGTTTATGAGTTGAATTGAAGAAGTCTTCTAAAATCTCCAATTCTGCTATTCTCTCCTCACCCTGGCCTCTCTAAATTCTCTCCTCACTTTTTCTTCTGTTCGACATCAAACTTAAAAGGCAAGAAAATGCTACCATGGCATGGATTATTTTACTTGGCATCTATTAACTAGCTAACCTATAGCTGATAAAAAAAAAGAAAAAAAAAAAAAAAAGGCTAACCTATCATCAAGGTCTGGTGTGTTTTGCTTTGTCAGATCCAGAAAATCAGTATCTTACCATTTTTTTTCATGAAGTTATTGCCTGAGAGTGCTCTACTTTAAAATTTAATTTAATCAAACCTTTTAAAGACAGTTGTGTCATGGCATTGGCAATCACTCTATTGTACTGTTATTTCTGTATATAAAATTCATTAATTTATATGTTTTGCAGATAGCAGAACGGACTATCAGTAGAATTCCAGTGCAGGCACATGAAATGAATCAACATGAACAAGATGTATGATGTTTTGTATTTGTCCCAAACAAACTATGCTTCAGAAAAAATAGTTTAATTTGACCAATCTTTAGGGTTTTGTAGATCACAGATAGGTGTATCAGACAGGCAGGCAGAACCTTGAAGGATGTTATTGCAGATTGGATTAGAAAGCTGAACAATAGAGAAATTGGTATGTTGGTGCACTTGATATTTGGCTAAATCGTCAAAAAGCATACTTTTCTTTCGTTTTTTCATGATGCTTTAACGTGTCATTAGTCATTACCAAGATCAGGACTTCTGCAGCTCATAAAATGAGAAAGATTTAACAATAAAATGTTTTTTTATAATGAGATATATGTCTGGTATAATATATTTCATTCTGAAAATGCCACTGACAATAGCTTTATATGGTAAAATTTCTTGTCTGCAGATAGAACAAGGCTGCAGCTGAATCATGCTGAGATGATATCTGCTGGGACGCATCTTTGCAAGTAATTTTTATTCCATTTTTTTATCTCATTTTATCTTGCATTCCAAGCTTTCTGTACTCGAGTTGGTCCTTAGCATTCACTAGTCTTAAAAATTTCTCAGTTTCCATTCTATATGAATTGGTTCACAGCTGGAAGAATGCCATCATTTCTGTTTTCCTCAATATTCCTTCTCCCTCGAAATGTTCCTTAGTTGAGCTTAGCTCAGTACCAACAGCCAATACCATTGCCCTTATGCTGTCTCAAGTCCATGACAGATTTATCATATTTTTTGACAATGACATCTAAGAATCTTCTTTTCAATGTTCAAGATGTTATTCACTTATTCATATTCTTTGGGATGATAATAATTTTGTGTACTGCACCGTCTATGTTCTGTAAATGCAGCAACTGTTATGAAAAGTTGGTCGCTTTCCTTCTATATTGGTACAGGATTTCATTGCCCAAATATGTAAGTCTTTTGAGTTTACCATGCAGTAATTCTTGCTATCAAAGCTTTGTAGAATTTCATTGTAAGATGTTATAACAATTGAATGACTTTTAGCCTTTAATCCTTGGACTAATGAAGTATGCGGATTGAAAGTTATTCACTAAAAGTGCCTGTCAACGAAACTGCATTTGAGCCATCTGTTTCTTATTTCAGAAAATTGTGAAGAGTGCTTTTGATCTGATCCTTATTGGAGAAATCTTCTTATATGGGTTGATTCTAACAAACTATCTTGACTGGTTGCTGTTACAGCTTTTGCCCTCAGATGCCAAACAAAGGGAAGATTGCTGGTATGGATATGCATGTCGGACGCAGCACCATAGTGAAGAACATGCTCGTAAGAGAAATCATGTGTGTCGTCCAACTCGAGGCAAC